CTCATCATAGGAGCCCAGGTCTAGTCTTAGACCTTGACTAACCTGAAGGACGATTAAAATTTAAAAGACCGTCTGTCTTTTACATATGCATGGAAGAAGCCATAGCATGTGTATGTGTGTGGGCATCCAGAAGAAAAGAAAAAAACTAATGATGTAAAAAAAGGAAAAACAATCCAAAACAGGAGTTGGCTATTTTGGACACAGAGCTTCCTGGCCCTTTTGTCAACTGCTTACCACCTGGTGACTACCTACTGATTGACAACAGGCAATGGGGAAGCGCCAGCCTTCTACTCACCCTCTGGCTTCTCAAAGCAGTTTTTATTAGGGCATCATCCTATCTCATCAGAAGAGTCCTCTTTCCTCTATGGCAAGTTTGGATTTCACTTCCGAGTACTTGCATTTATTCACCCCCTCAGTGTTAATGTTGGGTTCATCTATCCTTTTTGGATATAATGTATCCCTTAACCAACTTTACTTCTTTCAAAATTCATGAGGTAAACACAGAGAAATGGAGGGCAAGGAAAGCTAAAATATAATGCTATCTATAAGCCTTATTATTCTTTTTCAGAATCCTGACTCAACTGATGCTTGAAATGTAGGACTAAATCATGGGTTAAGAATATTTTATGAGACCTTCTTGGTATGACTTATAGGTACTAAGGACGTAAAGCATTTTTTCCCTCTTGGTTTGTTATTTCTAGTCTGAACCTCTTTCTACTTGTTTTTTGGAAACAGTTCATCACATTTGCAAAAACATCAGATAATTTTTCATTGGTGAGTTCACCAGATTAATTCCAAGCATCCATTCAGACTTGTTGATTACCTGCCAAAACAGCAGTAACTTTCCATAAAGACAAAACCTCATCTTTGCTTAAGATGGGCTACTTTCAAATGTTAACATTTAAAGAATCACATATTTGCTACACTATACTTTTGCTATAATACACTTTTGCTACCTCTGGGTACAGTGCAAAATTTCATACTATAGAATTTAAAAAAGGAAGCTTTTCACATTTAGGGGAATAATATTCAGTTTTCAATTGAGAGTACAGTTCATTTACTTTTAGCATAAAGCAATACACTGCATTTTAAAACTTTTACATTACTAGTTAACTACTATATATGTATAGTAAAAAAAAAAAAAACTAGCATACCTCACATGTTAAGAATGCTATATGATTTTAGGACATGTGATCTTCACCTTTAAAGACAATTATCACTCATAGTCCCTGAGGACATGTAAATCTGAAATAGCCACCAGTCACCCAGTCAGAGTCATAAAACCTTTCCTGTCCCCCTTGAAAATTTCAAAACATCATGGCAGGATTGTAATTAAACATAATAGTCATATTTACATCATTCAGTTTAACTGTAATGACACACATAAGAATTTCTTTATCACAAAGTTGTTCCTCTGAGACCTTTGTGTCCTCTTATCAATATAGAAAATAGCATTCAAAGGTGAGGCACATTGTTAGCAGCACATTTCAATTGGAAAAATAATCCATTCAAAACTATGTAAATGTCCATCAAAGCATACAATCTAAAAATATCATAAAGTCATATGTAAACTACACTTGCTATCCCATTTAGTTGTTGAACATGAAGAATTTCATGTTTGGATGGAATTTCATTCAAAGAGCCCAGGCTGACAAACAGAAGTATTGGGCTTCCTTTGCTTGGGAGCCCTTTGTAGTTGAGTCTCCATGTGCTGAGAAGCTGAGTCAGCGCTGATGCCCATGCTTGTCTCTCCAGCTGATTTCTGTGCTCATGAATATACACCATAAACAAAGTAAAGGCAAAAACAATAAAAGTAGCTTAAATTTTTTTTCCTGCCTTTATACAGAAGCTGAAGCCATTTCAAAAGGAATCCAGCATACTTGATATGCATGGTTCCTCACCATTTCAAACAGAGTCATAGCAATAAATATATTTTTCAGTTCTGCATATCAAAAAGAATGATGTGGATTCTATGCATACTAATACTGGTGAAATTCACTAAGCAATATTGTCACCATCACACATGTTAAATGTGAGTGGTAATTAATTGGTGATATTGCTGGAATTGTACATAATTAACAAGTCCTATTTAGTTTTTGAACATCAAAATTCATAGTATTTATATTTAATAAGTCATAGGTGGTATCTCTAGGAAGACTTTAATTCAGTTCCAACATTTGGGTAAAATTCGTAACAATGTTTCTTAAGTAATTCTGCTTTAGGATGCCAAAACAGATGCACACACATCACCCAGAACCAGATAGATGTCCACACAAAACTCAGCAGCATTTTCCCATAAGTTTTCTGAAATGCACCCATGAGCTCTGGGTCTAGTGTCCATTTCACTAATCTCTGAAGAGCTCTAATTAAATATCACACTTCTGAAAGAAGACAAAGTTAGCAAATAGCAAGCACATATGCCTCCTACAGCTACTTTCCTGAGAATGAAATATTCTGCTTTTAAAAGTGAAATGACAATTTCAAGGACATATATTCAGGTAGACCTGGTGGATCAACACATAATAAACTGAAATATTTGCATATAAAAATGACCTGAGAAAACTGATTCATATTCTGTCTCATATAAATTTTCAGTGAATATTAGATGAGCTCACAGGGATTTCATTGCACAACAAATCATTTTAAAAGTATATAAAAGGAAGAGAAAAAATGTAAACGTAATCAGGAAAAGATTGAGACCGATTAAGTTCAAGTAACAATCTCTTTGCACTAAAAGACAGTTTAGATAGTCAAAACAGAAGGATGATTCTTATTTTTATTGGGAGAGGTCTTTCTTTGCTAACCTCGTTGCTGAGATGTGGCCCCCTGCACAAAATGTTTCCTTCATAATTATCTAACCTTTTAAAGTCTTGGTTGTGCACTGGGAGAATGCTGATTCAGTGACTATGGTAGTTTAAGAATATACTATTTTGGCAAAAGAATGCATCTATCAGCTTAGAGTTGATGGGCCTAACACTGCTATTGAAAAAGACATTCATTTGCTTATTTTTGTTCATTCTCACTAACTTCTAGCATAATAAATGCCATTTTTATGGTCTAGAAGAGTTAGTAACATAGAATATTTTGCCCCCTTTCTGGTCAATAAGGTCAACTATATGCATTTAAAAACATCTTCAAATAAACAACTTCTCTTCTCTTACCATGGTGTGACCTCTGAATACTAATCTTTTCTACACCATTGTAGAAGGACTTTATGGTTCAAACTTTCACCCTACATCTTGGTTTATCTCTAGGTACTGACTTCTGTCACAATGAAAATTTATTCTCCTCTAGGCCTGTGTCTCTTGTACAACAAAGACATGTGCCCATTCCATACATGAAGAAAGAGATAAAAAATAATTGTGCAGGTTCAAATTAAGCTGGAATAGAAATACAATTTTTTTCTGGTTTAAATCAACACTATGATAACCTTTTGATTTCATATGTAAATTTCACATGTGGATTAATTTGATTGAAAGCTAAAACTGAAAATTTTTATTGCTGTATTCTCACCTATTACTATTAATTACAATGTCTTTGAAATTATGAATTTGGCTTAAAGAAAAGGATCATTGGCAAGTTTCAAAGGCACTAATTAAAGAGAATTGGATATAATTTAAGTACTAAATATACTAATTACAAAAATAATATGGATTCACATTAAGAGATTTCCCCATACTATAGAAAAGATATTTGTGTTTCAACCACTGTACTAAATTTTATTTGATCATACTAAAAATATATCAATGTAAATAAGACAGGAAGGAGAGTGAAGTCGCTCAGTCATGTCTGACTCTTAGCGACCCCATGGACTGTAGCCTACCAAGCTCCTCGGTCCATGGGACTTTTCAGGCAAGAGTACTGGAATGGGTTGCCATTTCCTTCACCAGGGAATCTTCCTGACCCAGGGATCGAACCTGGGTCTCCCGCATTGCAGGCAAACTCTTTACCCTCTAAGCCACCAGGGAAGCTAGAATTTAGGAGTAAATAAAAAGCATAATTCCAGCTTTTAGATTACTAATTATTTAGATTTAAAACATTCCTTGAAGAGCTTCCTTTGTGGTCCAGTGGTTAAGAGTCCACATTGCAATGCAGGGGATGCTGATTGATTCCTAGTCCAAGAAGATCCCACATGCCACAGAGTAACTAAGCCCAAGTACCACAACTACAGAGTCCACACTATAGAGCCAGTGAGCTGCAACTATTGAAGCTCTCGTGCCCTAGAGCCCATGCTCTGCAACAAGAAAAGCCATTGCAATGAAAAGCCTGTGCGCCACAACTAGAGAGTGGTCCCTACTCGCTGCAACTAGAGAAAGACTGCATGCAGCAATGAAGACCCAGGACAGCCAAAAATAACTAAACAAATTGATCAACTTTTTAAAAAATCCTTAAATAGTTAGAAGCACAGTCTGATTTGGTGATAATTTCTTGACATTACACCAGTTATAAGAAGCCAGTAGAAGAGACTTTTTAGTCCAGTAAGAATCTATGAGAATTTTCCCCATAAGTTATCCCCATACAGGAATGGGACACTGTTTTGGCATTCTGAGTTCTCTTTTCCAGAGACATCTCAATGAATAAAGAAGAAACTTATATTTTATTATATAACTTATTTTCACCTCAAATTCTCAAACAATAAAAACTTGAAAGCAATATAGGTAATTTTAGCTAGAGACTTAGAATATGGAATATTGCATCTCTTTCATAGACTCCATGACTCTTTAAAGTGCTCTAAAGACACTATGAGTGTGATTAGCAGCAAAGCATTAGCCTAATCTAAACCTCCCTCTTACCCCTACACACACACACATGTACACATACTGTACATCCATACTTTCTATTGGTCTAATTTAAATCTGACAATCTGACAGGTATTCCCAGAGGCTGTGCAAGGTCACAAATACTGTCCACACTATATCACTGTTCAAGATCACTAGCACCCACATGGTTAAGGGAAAAACAATCCTTTCAGTAAAACAAATAAATAAAACTACACAATATTTCAATCACATATTCTGAATTTCTTTTACGATTAAAAAATTGATGGATACAGTGAATTACCCAATATTTTTGAGTTCTATAATTTTCTTTATCTAAAAATATCTCTTATACATAGAATGCTAGATGCCTTTAAACAGAGTTTCAGCAATTCTAAGTAAAAAGTATTTCTTTGAAAAATATGTCATTTTTTGTTTTGTTTTTAACTTGGAGGAAAGTCCTGCAAGGAGCGAGTTTTCTTCTCATAGATGAATTCTACAGCAGTTTCTCCCAGGAGTACACTGGAAGCCCCGCCATCCCATATCTGTGTATCCCAAGGATGGAGTCTCATAGCACTGGATCTCCAGAAAGAGGTCCTGCAGGCACTGTGGCATATTGGTCTTTTCTCTTCCACACTCTTGAAGTATCACCCAAGTTGTGGGCATCTTGCCAGTAGCAGTTTCAGTCCAGAACTTGACCTTCACTGGGAAAACCAGGTCCGTTGAAAGTGCAGCACTTTCATCTTTTGGTTGGATAATTCTTGGTCCCCCATGGATATGAGTGATATCTAGAACATTCAGAAGTAGAAAGAGTTCTCTACAATCTCAAATATTTTAGTTCACACATTCAATTTCAAAAGCAGTAGCTGGGGTATACAAGTAAATAAATGAATAAAATGGTGACTCTAAGCATAAAATGGGGAGATTTTTAGAAACCTGCCTTTTGCTTAAGTTCAGTGCTGACACTGTCTTTCTCAAACTATAAACTTAATACTAACTGATAATTCTATAGTGGAAAAATTAAAGCCTATCCAAAGTAGCTTGTACATTTAATGCCTATTTTAAAGCAAAGCAAGTTGAATCAATAATTTCTTTTTACCTCAACACATATTTCATTGATAAAAAATAAAATATTAATGTGTGCTGTGCTGTGTTGGGCTCAGCCACTCAGTCATGTCCAAATATTTGTAACCCCATGGACTGTAGCTTGCCAGGCCCTGAGTAATATGCTCATTCCCTATTCACCCACAAAACTGAACAGTTTTACTCTCATAACAACAGTGATATAATTAAGGCAAGCTAGGTGGTATCATTCTGGTGAGAAAGCTAAATATTAATGTGTGTAAAATATATTTTTGTGCAATATATTATGCAAAGATGGGCAAAATAAAGGACAGAAATGGTATGGATCTAACAGAAGCAGAAGATATTAAGAAGAAGTGACAAGAATGCATGGAAGACTATACAAAAAAACATCTTAATGACCCAGATAATCAAGATGGTGTGACCACTCACCTAGAGCCAGACAACCTGGAGTATGAAGTTGAGTGGACCTTAGGAAGCATCACTATGAACAAGGCTAGTGGAAGTGATGGAATTCCAGCTGAGCTATTTCAAATTCTAAAAGATGATGTTGTGAAAGTACTGCATTCAATATGCCCGGAAATTTGGAAAACTCAGCAGTGGCCACAGTACTGGAAAATGCCAGTTTTCATTCCAATCTTCAAGAAGGGCAATGCCAAAGAATGTTCAAACTACCATACAACTGTGCTCATTTCACAATCTGGCAAGGTAATGCTCAAAATCTTTCAAGGTAGGCTTCAACAGTACATGAAACCAACAATTTCCACATGTTCAAGCTGGGTTTAGAAAAGGCAGAGAAACCAGAGATCAAATTGCCAACATCTGTTGGATCATAGAAAAAGGAAAAGAATTGTAGAAAAACATCTACTTCTGCTTCCTTGACTATGCTAAAGTCTTTGACTGTGTGGATCACGTCAAACTGTGGAAAATTCTTAACAGAGATGGGAATACTAGACCACTTTACTTGCCTCCTGAGAAACCTGTATGTAGGTCAAGAAGCAACAATTAGAACCAGACATGGAACAACAGACTGGTTCAAAATTGGAAAAGGAATATATTAAGGCTGAATATTTTCACCCTGGTTATTTAACTTATATGCAGGGTTCATGATGCAAAATGCTGGGCTTGATGAATCTGAAGCTGGAATCAAGATTGCTGAGAGAAATACCAATAACCTAAGATATGAAGATAACACGACCCCAGTGGCAGAAAGGGAAGAGGAACTAAAGAGAAGGGGAAAAATAGAAACAGTGACAGGCTTTATTTTCTTGGATTCCAAAATCACTGTGGACAGAGAGTACAGTCATGAAATTGAAAGACACTTGCTCCTTAGAAGAAAAGCTATGACAAACCTAGACAGTGTATTAAAAAGCAGAGACATCACTTTACTGACAAAGGTCTTTATAGTCAAAGTTATGATTTTTCCAGTAGTCATGTATGGATTGGACCATAAAGAAGGCCAAGTGCCAAATAATTGATGCTTTCAAACTGTGGTACTGGAGAAGACTCTTGAGAACCCCTTGGACAGGAAGGAGATCAAGCTAGTCAGTCCTAAAGGAAATCAACCCTGAATATTCATTGGAAGGACTGATGCTGAAGTTGAAGCTCCAATACTTTGGTCACCTGATGCAAAGAGCCAACTCATTGGGAAAAACCCTGATACTAGGAAATATTGAAGGCAAGATGAGAAGGGGACAACAGCAGATGAGATGGTTGGATGGCACCACCAATTCAGTGGACGTGAATTTGAGCAAACTCCAGGAGATGGTGATGGACAGGGAAGCCTGGCATGCTGCAGTCCATGATGTCACAAAGAGTTGGACACAACTGAGTGACTGAACAACAAAAATATGTTTAATCATACAACTCTGCAAATGACCACAAATAGAGCCCTCCTAGGGCTTTCCTAGGTTTCCCTGGTGGCTCAGATGATAAAGAATCTGCCTGTAGTGCAGGAGACCCAGGTTCAGTCCCTGGGTTGGGAAGATCCCCTGGAGAAGGGAATGGCTACCCACTCCAGTATTCTTGCCTGGAGAATTCCATGGACATAGGAGACTGGTGGGCTACAGTCCATAGGGTTGCAAAGAGTTGGACATGACTGAGCAACTAACACTTTTCACTTTCACTTTTCAAGGCTGGCCCAGTTTGTTTTGACTTTATTTTCATTGCACTCTCAACTCAGTCCTACTTCCTCTCAACTCAGTCCTACTTCCCCTCCCCAAATCCCTCATTTGGGTTAGGGCTCCCTGTTGCTGTTTCTGTTACCTCTTTCTTTAACTAATGCAGCATGCTGTGCCAGAGACATTTTTCCTACCCCCTGCCCAAGAAGCCTCACCATTATTTAAACACTTCTATGTATTTCCTCCAAAGAGAGCTAGTAGCTAGATGATGGCCTTCTCCTGAGACTTTCAGTTCGAGAATGGCACCTCTCTATTTCTAACTAAACATGAACCCTGTAATATAAGCTGATATGTGACATATCTTGGCTTAGTGCTTTAATTGCTGCCTTGATGCTTTGTAGACATGTGTATAGGTTTGACTGGTAGCCTTAAGTTGTAAACTTGAATAATACAACACTTATGTTGTAATTCTCTCTGCATGGTGATTAATCAAGATCACTTAACATTTTGCAATGGTGACTGTGATGAAGATTAAGATGATGATAACAAGAGGAGATCTGAGTAGATACTGGTGGAGTAGTTAAAACAATGTTTCATTTTTCAAACCACATTCTAAGGAAGGCTATCTTATGTTCCAGGTAAAATATGAAGAATCACTAGGGTAAACAAGATAAACAGACTTCTTTGCTATAGTATATCTCAAAGTCTTCAATATAGTCATGTGTATCAACATTCTCCCCAAACAGAAAAATGTACATTCAGGATTCCCCAAATATATGTGGTCATGAAACTTTATTCAGGGAACATCTATTTTCATCTTTAATAATATTGCATATTTACAAAATCTATTTGGGAAAACAGACTCAACTGATTCTAAGTATTGATTCTAATTACTTCTACATGTTCTGTGATATTTAGCACCCACTACCCTTTGAGTCAGGGTTTCCCTGATAGTTGATAAAGAATCCAAGACCCCAGTTCAATTCCTGGGTCAGGAAGATCCGCTAGAGAAGGGATAGGCTACCCACTCCATTATTCTTGGGCTTCCCTTGTGGCTCAGCTGGTAAAGAACCTGCCTGCAGTGCAGAAGACCTTTGGCTGGATCCCTGGGTTGGGAAGATCCCCTGGAGAGGGAAAGGCTACCCACTTGAGTATTCTGGCCTGGTTCCACAGAATGTATAGTTCATGGAGTTGCAAAGAGTCAGACACAACTGAGAAACTTTCACTCTCACCCTTTGACTATAGAAAAATCATGACTGCCACAGCTAATTTGATTCATATTTGGAATTATGAGCATTTTCAGTTTATGAAGTATTAGGTCTTTCCATGTGGAGCCTGACTTATTTCTTGGGAATATCAGTAAACAAGTAATGGCATTAAGCACAATTCAGGGTTATTTTTACTAGTAAAGCTTGAAAACTCCTTCACCCAATTATATATTCTATCACTGCTATTAGAAACTGAAAAGGGAGTATTATGGTTATACAGATTTCTAAGTGGATGATTCATTTTAATTTGGAGCGTTTTTGAGAAAATTTGATGTCATTTCCACCATATATTGCTTTAACTTGATTGTTTAAATCATATGTTCATATTCTAGCCACAATTCCAAAAATAACCATAAATAACTTTTCACTTTTGTTATCAGGTATCTTAATATCTGGACTTCCCTGGTAGCTCACCTGGTAAAGAATCTGCCTGCAATGCAGGAGACCCTAGTTCAATTCCTGGGTCAGGAAGATCCCCTGGAGAAGGGATAGGATACACACTCCCGTATTCTTGGGCTTCCCTAGTGGCTGAGATGGTAAAGAATCCACCTGCAATGTGGGAGACCTGGTTTCAATCCCTGGGTTGGGAAGATCCCCTGGAGGAGGGAGTTGAAATTCACACCACTATTCCTGCCTGGAGAATCCCCATGGACAGAGAACCCTGGTGGGCTACAGTCCATGGAGTCTCAAAGACTCGGACACAAGTGAGTGACTAAATACAGCACAGCATCTTATTATCTATCTACCATAAGAAGAAAATCTGCAATTTTAGTACAGGAATATGTCTTTAGAAGTAGAAGTAATGCTTGATTTTTTTAAAAAAAAATATTTATTTATTTATTGACTGTGTGGGTCTTCATTGCTACACACAGGCGTTCTCTAGTTGTGGCGAGCGGGGGCTACTCTCTAGTTGCGATGTGCAGTATTCTCATTGCGGCTTCTCTGGTTGCAGAACACAGGCTCTAGGGCATGCGGGCTTCAGTAGTTGTGGCAGGCAGGCTTAGTTGCCCTGTGGCATGGGGAGTCTTCCAAAACCAGGGACTGAACCTGGGTTCCCTGCATAGGTAGGCAGATTCTCAACCACTGGATCACCAGGAAAGTCCCAATGTTTGATTTTCCAGCTCAACTCCAGAAAAATAAATGACCCAAACAAAAAATGGGCCAAAGAACTAAACAGACATTTCTCCAAAGAAGACATACAGATGGCTAACAAACACATGAAAAGATGCTCAACATCACTCATTATCAGAGAAATGCAAATCAAAACCACAATGAGGTACCATTACACGCCAGTCAGGATGGCTGCTATCCAAAAGTCTACAAGCAATAAATGCTGGAGAGGGTGTGGAGAAAAGGGAACCCTCTTACACTGTTGGTGGGAATGCAAATTAGTACAGCCACTATGGAAAACAGTGTGGAGATTTCTTAAAAAGCTGGAAATAGAACTGCCATATGACCCAGCAATCCCACTTCTGGGCATACACACCAAGGAAACCAGATCTGAAAGAGACACGTGCACCCCAATGTTCATCGCAGCACTGTTTATAATAGCCAGGACATGGAAGCAACCCAGATGCCCATCAGCAGACGAATGGATGAGGAAGCTGTGGTACATATACACCATGGAATATTACTCAGCCATTAAAAAGAATTCATTTGAATCAGTTCTAATGAGATGGATGAAACTGGAGCCCATTATACAGAGCGAAGTAAGCCAGAAAGATAAAGACCATTACAGTATACTAACACATATATATGGAATTTAGAAAGATGGTAACGATAACCCTATATGCAAAACAGAAAAAGAGACTCAGATGTATAGAACAGACTTGTGGACTCTGGGAGAAGGCGAGGGTGGGATGTTTCAAGAGAACAGCATTGAAACATGTATATTATCTAGGGTGAAACAGATCACCAGCCCAGGTTGGGTGCATGAGACAAGTGCTCGGGCCTGGTGCACTGGGAAGACCCAGAGGGATCGGGTGGAGAGGGAGGTGGGAGGGGGGACCGGGATGGGGAATACATGTAAATCCATGGCTGATTCATGTCAATGTATGACAAAAACCACTACAATATTGTAAAGTAATTAGCCTCCAACTAATAAAAATAAATGGAAAAAATAAAATAAAATAAAATAGTTATAATAAATGTTTTCATAAGAAAAAATAAACTTAATAATAGTAGAATTGAAAAGGATAAAAATAAATTTCAAAATGAGACTGAAATTATTCTAAAAAAAGAAAAACATAAGAGCTCTTGTAAGAGCTTTCCGAAGTTCCTGACACACCTGGTTTTTCATTATATTTAGTTGACTTCCTGCATAAGTTTGAAGTATTCATTGCCCTTGATCCTGAGTCTTTGAGAAAATGCAGATTAAAAAAGTGATTAGTATAACTTTTGCCCCATTACAAGCCAAGGGCACTTGAAATAAAAAGCTGCCAAGAGTAAAGAATGGAAACATTTGTATTATCCATGGAAGGCTGGGTGTACTCAGATCAAGAGGAAAGAAAGAAAATTCAAAATCCCTCTGGAGATGGGAGGAGGTGAGTGATTATGGATATGGTGATTCCTATCAACAATATACCTTTGGTAAATAAGAATAACTCATCATTTCTCTGCAGTTACAAATCATAACAAAACTAAATATCCAAAGATAGTATTTTGGAAATATCTTGTCAAGCCAAAAGAGCAAGCAGTTGAATAACTTTATCTGTGATTCATAAGAGCAATTCATTGAAACAGGGAGGGAAAAAAGGTTGGAGACTGAACTAACCTCAAAAATGAATCTAATTTCCATATAATGATCTTGATAGGATGTTCTTGAGACCTCTTTCTCTTTCCATGGCTAACAGTTATCTTTAGGGAAGATTTCTAGAATAATTTAAATAGTGGTCACCAGATACCTTCATCAGCTAGACAGGAAGGCAGTTCATTCAGGTAGAAAGGGCTAGTTAGGGAAAATAAACTCCATAGAACCATGCCTCCTAAAGCAGTTTTTTTCATATAGGACATGTAAGTGGTTACTCATGGTCCACTGTGGTGATTCTGTTATGACTGGACAGCTCATGTACAGCAGACAAAATCAGTGTCCATATCCCCACATTCAAAGTACTTCAAACATGCCAACCTTGTGCCCAATCCCCAACACCTGAATTTCATTTCCTGAGGATTCCTCTGGCCTCTAGAATCTGCTGTGTCCACCTTTACAGAAGGCCAGAAATGCCAGGTAACTAACATCTCCTGGGGAAAAAGTACTCAAAAAATGACTAACAGAAATTAGAAATAAATGGCAGCTCAGCTTCCTCAGTCTATGAGCGGGAGAACTGAAGCACATGTTCTCCACTGGCTCTCAGATTTCCACAGTGTGATCAAGCTCCACATACCACAGTGGTAACTTGCTTGAAAATGAAGGCTTTATTGAATTATTTCTTCAACCCCCTAGCAGAGTTTCTTGGGATTGCCTCTCAAATAAACTAATTGTACTCAAATCTTTTTGCCCCAAACTGTGCCCAACAGTAAAATTGCAGAAATCCAGAATTGAATGAAATTGATAAAATAGAGTACATTTTTAGAGCACCAATGATGATTATTATAGAAGATAACACACAGCCCCAGTAAAATGAAGTTTCTTATCTAGGGTAAGCAAAAGGGAACACATAATAACAAATCCTTCTCCCACAAACATATCTTAAATTCACTAGAAGTGATTCTTTGTTTAGGTGGATTTCCCCCCTTGCCTTCTATACAAATAATGGGTAGGTTTTAGTTATGGAAATTTGAGTTTATGGTTTTCCAATATGGGACAGATGTTTAGTTTTTTTTTTAATGTAGAAATACTTTTCCATTTCATTATGTTCATATTTTATGGGAGTAAATTACTACTAAGCTATCACTCTTTTTCAACTAAGAATACAGCAGCTGCACCCATACAAAAGATGGGGAACATACATTCTACCCATGGTTGTATCAAGTCTGAGCCAAGCTATTTCACAAAACTGTTTAAAAGAAAAGGTGTGAGGGGGTGGAACCTCTGGAATCAAGGATAGAGAAATTAAATCCAATGGTCTATGTTGAATTTTCACATTTCTAGATCTCACCTGTTAGAAGTAAAATTGTAATAGCCACTTTCCTCTAGGACTTCTTCAATCACAGTCTAAAGTTGAAAAAAAAAATTAGGTTAGTATTGAATTAAAAGCAACAAAATAAAACCATTCAGAGGCAGTGCAAAAACCTCACCTGCATCTGTTCATATGTTATCCCCTCCTCCAAATCAAAGCTAGAGGGTAGACCTGGAAACAGATGAATTATGAAAAGTCTGACATTTGGCTTATGCTTTCTTCAGTTGTACTGGCAATTAGAACTCACGTGCAATGAAAACAGGTCAGTATCTTAGTGATGAAAATGAGTACTTACAAACACATTCCAAATTATCTTGACTTTTAGGGTGGTGATCAGAAAATAATACACAAGATTTACAGGAATTGCTCATGGTATAAATTGGCCAATTAAGTTAGGGGTGTGCGTGTGTGTGTGTGTGTCTGTGTGTGTGTGTGTGTGTGTTAAGGACAGGTGAAGAGTGATTCTAAGCATAAATCTCCAGATAAGCAAAAACAAAACAAAAAAATTAAGAAAACTCTCTCTAATCCATAAGCAAAAAGAGTAGATATGTTCTAGAAAGAGAATAAATTCTCAAGAGGAAGGCAGAAATAGCCAGTGAACTACATCAAAGATCTGACCATATCCTATGGTTGCCAGAAGGAAAATACATTTGAAATTGGAGGACAATAATTCTTTTGAGGTTTGGCAAGAGTAGATACACCAGCACATTGACCCAACCCGACACTACCCAAAATAATGTTGACCAGTTTCCACTCCAGTCAATCCACACTTACTCATGTGGAGGCCTGGGAGTTCCCCTGCCACTTAGGAGAGAGAAAAGTGAGTGAAGATTAATAGGATGCATGAAGATATGAGTCCTGGCCACTTGCTTTTCAAGTCCAGCTTAAAGGCATTGCCCAAAGTGCTCCTTGCTTCTGCTCTCTTTGCTTTTGCCCTTTCTGCCATGACAAGGGACACAGCTGGTCTGCTCTGGGGTGAGGCGTCCAGCTTCTGGAAGAGCCTATCAACTCCCTCTCAGGTCACTGAGAGATTTTCAGCAGAGCTCCTCACTCAGCAGGTCTGCTGTGGTAAGAAGTCTGGCCTGTGACTGACCAACCTGCCCTGGAGGATGCTTGTAAAAGCAGATGACTTCACTTAGTATGATCATCTCTAGGTCCATCCATGTTGCTGTAAATGGCAATATTTTATTCCTCTTTATAAGTAATATTCCATTGTGTGTGTGTGTGTGTATATATATATATATGTATATATATACACACAAATTTTATATATCACTTATATGTGGAAACTAAAAAATAATACAAACGAACTTATTTACAAAACAGAAACAGACTCATAGACATAGAAAACAAGCCTCTGGTTACCAAAGGGGAAAGAGGGGGAGATATATTAGGCATACGGGATTAATAGATACATAGTGACCCAGTGTTAGTCACTAGTCACGCCTGACTCTTTGCGACCCATGAACTGCAGCCTGCCAGGCTCCTCTGTCCATGGGATTTTCCAGGCACAGATACTGGAGTGGTTTGCCATTTCCTTCTCCAGGTGATCTTCCTGACCCTGGGATAGAACCTGGGTCTCCTGCACTGCAGGCAGATTCTTAAGGATTCTTGAGCTAACAGGAAAGCTCCCATACATGCTACTATATAAAAAAATGAATAATAATGATTTACTGTATAGCACTGGGATATTCAGTATCTTGTAATAAATTTTAATGGAAAAGGAAGAGAATCTGAGTTCAAAAAAGAAATCTATATATATATATATATATATATACACCACTTTGCCATATCCCTGAAAATAATGCAATATTATAAATAAACTGTAGTTCAATTAAAAATAAATAAAAGCAAATGACTTTAGATAACAGTTTATTTTGATCTTACAGATTTCTCAGGGACTATTTTAAATGAAATTCTACCGACCCAGATTAGCTTTATTCCAGGAGTCCAAGACCTAGGGAAAGTTCGATAATTAATACATGACATGATTTGCCTAAATTAGGCAACAACAAAAGCACAGCAGACTTGAAGATTCTTTTTGGCTGAGGAGATGGAAAGTCTTCATTTAACCATAAAAGCTTCACTGAGAGATGTAACTATAGTTTACAGGGATTCAAAAATTACTTAGGAATTCTGTAACCTCAGAGTAGCTTGAAGATCTCTTCTGGGGGTCAAATATCACAAGAAGGTCCTTATGCTGAGTCCCTACATACTGGCTAAGCATATTTTTATATAGTTACACTGATCCTTGCTATAATCCTAAAATGTAGGTACTATTTCTATTCCCATTTTATAGGCAAAAATCTTGGGATTCAGTGAAGTCAAATAATTTTCTCAAGGTCAGTTACTAAGTGGTTTAGCTGAGATATGGATGTAGGTACCCAGGTTTAGAGAATATGTGCTTTTAATCCCTGTTATATTGCCTCCCTACATGAAATTTTCACACACACACACACACACACACACACATCAAATGCATATGATTTGGATTCTTCAGGTGAGTTTCAAATTTTCTGTTTTAATCAAACTTTTCATATCTGCTTTTTATGTCCCTGAATGCTTTTGGGCATTTGATTTCCCATCATCAGATATGAAGAAATAAAAAGAAATTCAATTTACCCACACAGATTCTGTTTGCTTATGGTATTAATAAATGATGCAGGAAGCTGTCACAAGTGGGTAAAATAACTCTGAGGGAATTTCTAGATTCCTACTGTATGTCCCTTCCAACTATCACTGCAGATAATCAAAATAAACTCTCTTGTCATTTTAAGTCGAATATAATCTTTTAAGGACAGCTGTTGATCCAAACAACCAATTTCTCCATGAAAGCCAGATTTCCTGTGTTGAAGATTGTTACCTGTTGGGTCATTTGAGGACAGGCTGTTTCCACCCAATGAATGATGCAATAAGTGGTAATCTGCTGTGAAAAAGTTGGGTTCAATTGGTTCTGGAGATCCTTGAGATAACTGGAACAGAAAAAAGCAAAATTACCTCTTATTTCACATTCAGAGTCACATGACATGAAACCTCTGTGTGTGTCTCTGCTTAGAAAAGTTAGTGCTCTTCAGTTTTCAATCCCTGTCTACAGGTAAAGACCCACCTTCTTCCTTTCAAAAGAACTTATAAATTAGGGGCAGGCAAATTACAGTGAAGGCAAGCAGACAATTCCTGGTCACATGAAAAAAATATTCTATAGCTTTATGGGAACAAAATAAAAATAGATAGAAAAACAATGGTATGGGCCTGGGATATCAGAATGTTATTTTTATCAGGCATGGGAGGTAAAAGTTACAATCATTTGACAAAATATTATTTTTAGCTCAAATCATCCCTTTTCATGTATATGCTTTGAACAATGCCTTTGTGTTTGATCAAAGCAAACATGTTTCTTAACACATTTTCCTAAATTACCATTAATTTTCATCTCCAAACATTAATTCCCAACACTGTAAAGGGAAGAGTAATTCACTAAATGTCAGAACTTACAGTTCCAATTATTTAATACCCCTTTGTAAAACTGAACTTTTTAAATGAAACTTTCAATATCATTTCACCTTTAATTCCAACCAGCACTTGAGCTGGTCAACTTTTTGTGCCTATGTAAAACAATGTATTTTTAACATATTGATTCATATTAATTAAACCAGAAACAAAAGGCACAACTTAGACTATGCAATAGTATTTACCTTGTATTCACAAACTCTTTTAAATTAAAGAATTAAATTAAATTGAATTAAAATAAATTAATAAAATTAAATTATTAAATAAATAAATAAATTAATTAATTAATATTGAATTAAAATATATCACTGTTAAATCACTTGAGAAAGTATTTTGGCAGTTCACATATAGGTCCACTCTTGAGCCAACAATCCCAGTCTTGGCTATACTCACACAAGAGAATTGAGTACTTCTGTTCATCAAAAGACATGTACAAGAATATTCATAGCATATTTATTCATAATAATAAAATACTGGAAAAACCTCAATGTCCATGGACAGAGGACAGATAAATGTATTGTGGTGTGCTTATCCAATGGAATTTTGCCAAACATGAAAAAGAACATGCTATGAATATGCACAGCAAGATGGATAAGTGTTGAGAAAAGAAGCCAGACACAAAAGGATATACAATGTATATCTTCACTTACACATATTTTCAGAGCCAAAAAAATCTAACCAATGGTGACAGAGATCAGGACAATAAGTACCTTGCAGCAGGTGGTAGCATTGACTGGGAAAGGTGGGCAGGAGCTTTCTTCTTGACTGGAAATGTTCTATGTATTGATGTGGTTGGTTGTCACATGGGTGAATATATATGTAAAAGTTCATGGAGCTGCACATGTACTTCACTGTATGCATTTTGCATTTTATTGTGGTGGTGGTGCTGTTCAGTCACTGAGTCATGTCTGACTCTTTGTGACCCACGGACTATAGCAAGCCAGGCTCCTCTGTCCTCCACTGTTTCCAAGTTTGCTCAGATTCATGTCCATTAAGCCAATGATGTTATATCACCATCTCATCCTCTGCCAAATCCTTCTCCTTTTGCCTTCAATGTTTCCCAACATCAGGGTCTTTTCAAATGAGTTGGCTCTTCGCATCAGGTGACCAAAGCATTGGAGCTTCAGCTTCAGCAACAGCCTTTCCGATGCATATTCAAGATTGGATTTCCTTCAGGATTGACTGGTTTGATCTCCCTGCAGTGCAAGGGACTCAAGAGTCCCTTGCCTTTTATATCTTAATATAAACATGTTGTACTAACAACTGATAATTATTCCATCAATGTGCATTGGATATTTATAAATACAAATCATTTTTGAGTTTTCCAGTTTCTATATTGCCAATAAATGCTACATTTTAGAAAAACATGTGAATCATCCTTTTTCAATCTTAGAAATTTATTTTCCCTACTTTAGTGACAACTTATAAAATTAATAACCCATCTGTTATAACAGTGTAATGAAGATTTGGTGGTTACTCACTTAATAAATTTCTCATCAGTGCTGTTAGGAGGCAATGCAGATAGTCTTAAGCATTCTGTAGTTCCTTTATTCAAGCTAGTAGATTACTTCAACTGAACATCTTGATATGTCTTGTAGTACTGAAAATTATTTCCTGGTATTACCTTCCAAGTGACTTCAGATGGGATTGTTTTTCATATGGCTGAGCATAGGAGTAATTTGGCTGCCTTAAATTTTCATCCCAAATATTTCTTAGAAAGCTTATTTAAGACAACTTAATTATTAAATAAATACCTTGGAATCCTAAAGATTTCACAGGAGAAAGGTGCTTAAAGCTGCACAGTAGCATATGTGAACTGTGGCCTGTAGAGGTCGAGAGCGTCATTTTAAGATGACTGAAATGTCTTTATCATTGATTTAAACCTTGAAGAAAGTATTTCAGCTTTCCAGTGCCTGTGTCAGACTGTCTCCTTCAGCCTAAGCACTGTGAATTCTCAAAAGGATGGGCCCATGGAAGAAGCCAAGGACTAAAATTCCTTAGGCTTGTGTTTGAGCCCCAGATACATTTACTTTTATTCTAGAAACTTTCCAGAACTTCTTTTTGGAGTTTAGTATTTTGACGTATACTATACTCTTTCAGCAAATCTTTTTTTGCTCCTTACTATGTTGTGATGTGAGAAGGTTTTGCAAATCAGAGATGTAAACCTTTCAATTCACATGCAATGAAGATCTGCCCAGCTTGTTAGCACCATGCAGGGCAACATAGAGGACACAGAATTCATCTGGCCTTTATGAGACTTGCAAGTGAACTGGGAAAATAGGCTAATGTTCATAAAACAACAGGGCAATGCATTAAATAATGAAGTATGAAATGGGGTGGTGAGACCTAAGTTTACGCAAACAAAGATGCCTTGTGAAGACCAGTATGGTTTTCAGAAGTTCTGGAGAAGAAACACTAAAGCTGAACCACAAAGGCTGGATTTGGGTTGGATGCAAGGAAGCCAAGTGATCATTCCAGGTGAGAGGAGCTTGAGGGCAAAGGCTGGGCATATTAATGGCAAGTGATAAAGGACTATGACATTAGTCCTTATTATGGAGGCACTGTGGATTTAGGATGAAGAGAGGAAAATAAGTGCTATTAATTAATTCAAGGAGTATTCTTTTTTTTTTATTTTTAAAATTTAAAAAAAACAAAATTATTTTTGGCTGTGCAGCACAGCATGCAGAATTTTAGTTTCCCAACCAGGAATCAAACCCATGCCTCCTGCATTGAAAGCACTGAGTCTTAACCACTAGATAGCCAGGGAAGCCCTCAGGGAGTAATGGTTTTTTAAATCAACTACTGTGTGCCACGCACAGATCCAAGCAATGAAAACAATCAATATTGGCTAAATATTGTATTATTGGAGCTTACTGACTCATTAAGGAGAATTATGACTGTGAAGTATATATTACAAATGCATATTTGTAAAATTGCAAATGTGCAAACACACTGAAGGCCAGGCCTCTGGTTCTGAGAGGTAACAGATTTAACTTAGGGAAGGCTTTCCTGAAAGAATGACTCTTGTGCTGAGAGCTGAAATAAAGAGTAGGAGTGAATAAAGGATGGAGTAGAAAGAACATTACAGGCAGAAGAAAGAGTGTGTACAAACTTGGGAGGAAGTGGCATGGTAGCTGAGCACTGTGGCCAGTGTACAGGCCAAGAGTGGTGTGAGGTGAGGGTGGAGAGAGAGGCAAGGCTTGGGCCAGACAGGACTGTGAACACCATTCGTAAGGATTTATTTTAATACTAAAAGCCCCTTGGACAATTTCTGGTCAGATTTCTATTTTGAAAAGATCACCCTGGATGCAATGTATATAATAGCTTGAGTAGGGCTGTGAACTCAGGGTGAACACAGGCAGATCAGGAGGAGGCTCCTACAAACAATGCAGTCCTGGGTTGGACCCAGAGTTAGACAGTGAAGCAGGAAACTGGAAACAGATGTTTAGAAACATTGGCAAGTCTGGCAAAATGGACTGGAAAACAAGTTGATCAGCAAGGAACTGTGACTCTAGTGCAAGAGATATAAAGCTTGGATAAGGTGGAAATCAAGAGAAGGAGGAAGGCCAAATATTCCTACTTAATCACAACACCACCACCACCTGTGGCCACTGATTCAGTACTTACTACATTCTAGATATAGTCAATATTCTATTTGGTTCCTACAACTACCCTGTAACTTGGGCATTATCTCCATTTCACGGATGAGGAGTTTGGGAAGTAATTTGCTCAAAGAGCATAGGTAGTAACTGGCAGAACTGGGGCTAGAACCCACGGGGTATCACCAAAGGCCAAGCAAAACCACCTACACTATGAAGATTCCCCAGGTGTTAATGATTTAGGGGATGCAAGAGATAAGGTGGAACAGTTGAGGGTGACCCAAGGTTTAGAGACAAAACAGAAGGAAAACAGATGCTTCCAGTAATATTTGATGTGGACAAAAGAAGAAAGAAGGTAATGGGATCAATTCTGGACACACTACATGGCAAAGTGAATGCTCACCCAGTAGGTAGAAATATGGGTGATACAACAGAACCTTCAAACTAATGGCCTCTTGAGCTGGCTGAGGCTGTGAAGTGGCTCAGACCAGCACTGGGTGGGGAGCCTCTCTAAACTTATGAACATTTGGCTGGCAGGTGTACCTCCCATCGTTGGCATGTATGCTTCTATTTGGAAGAATGCATAAGAAACCTCTTTCTGAACTGACAAAATTGGATGTCCATCTGACATCCAATTAAGGTGGCAGAATAGGAAGTGGGTTTCACTTCCTCCTACAACTGCATCAAAAATATATCTACATGTGGCACAACTTTCAAAAAATACCTGCTGAACACTGACAGAAGGTCCCAGACAGCCAAAATTGTAGGAAGGATCACCACATGACCAGCTAAGATGAAAGAAAATGATTAAGGAAGCAGCACAGGGTCTGCACAACTGGGACAGAGCTGTGGAAGAGGAAGAGGGA